CCCCCTTTTTTCCCCCCCCCCCCCCTTTCTCTTTCATTCTCATTTCTTTGACTAATAAAGGAGAAAAATGCATCAACCAAAATCCTAGGAAATATTACACTGTAATAATATCACAGATATGCCAAACAAAGCTGATTGCAATTATTTTAAATTTAATCAAAGACTTCTTGTCAATCAAGTGCATCATTAAGCCACATTAATAACTAAATTTAGCCATCCATGTCCTGGAAACTCTAAACAGTCTTCCCGTGTATAGCTGAGAGATGGGATTTCCCTGTAAAGCTGTAAGGAAGTTTTACCACAGAATTACCACACTGTACAAGCCACATCTTGTTCAGCTGTCATGAGAAGGAAGAGGTGTGGTAGCGTTTTGCGGGTCCAGTTCCCTTTTCATGTCTGTTTACTCTTTTCTGCAGCGTGCCACCTGCTGATGACTGAGGGAAACTACATTAACTGGTTGGTTAAGTAACAAGTCTATGGTGGTTCAGTGAGATTGATAATGTGTTTATGTTTAGGCTGCAGATTGCACAGGAAGAACATCACACGGTGGCGGAGGAGAAGGTCAACCTGGAGCGGGAGATGCGAAACGAGATTGATGCAGCAAAGCAGGAGGCGCAAAGACTACGAGAACTGCGTGAGGGAACCGTGAACGAGTTGAGCAGACAGAAATATGCAGAGCAAGAGCTGGAACAGGTATCACAAGGCCTTATTAACAGGAGGTACAACTTGTGAGAAGGATTTTTTTTTTTACTTGAATCAAAATGAAACCATTTGCCACAGTCATTTATTTCAAATATGCAAATTAGGCATTGCCTCATTAAATATGTACAATGTTTCACAAAAAAATATTATATAGTCCAGTAAAAATACAATGCCAAAATTCATTTAAATGCATAGCATTTATAAAAACATAAGATAAAAAAATTAATTGTAAATCTATTATTTACATGCAAATCTATTATTTGAATGCAAAATATTGCAAAAAGTTTAATAGTTATATAAAAGTTATCATTTATATGTGTAGTACCTCCCCTTAAATTTATTTTGTTGAAAAGAGGGTACTTTTTTTCAATCAGTCTTCGAAACTCTAGTAAAATAATAGCATGTTTATACCAAAACACATGCCTCTTTTCACCATTCGCTTATTAGCAACATGTTTGGATACCCTCACAGACTCACCTTAAGTTAACAGGTGTCCCATTACCATGGGAACTGCTGAAGTGGCACAGAAGAGGTTTTACACAATTCCCTCCTCAAAACATTGAAACACAGCCAATATTTATGAGCTTGTGTTTGTTTTAGGTGCGAATGGCTCTGAAGAAGGCTGAAAGGGAGCTGGAGTTGAGGAGCGGCTGGTCTCCTCCTGAAGCTCTGCAGAAATGGCTGCAGCTCACACACGAGGTGGAAGTACAGTACTACAACATTAAGAAACAGCAAGCGGAAAGACAGCTCATAGTTGCTAAAGAAGGGGTAAGATGTTCAAATACTCATAGATTACATGCTTTAACTGAATATTAAATCTATTTAGCCTGTTCTACTAGCTGAACATCCATTAATTATGAAGTTGTGGCCACAATAACAGGCAGAAAAAATCAAGAAGAAGAGAGGAACTATCTTTGGGACATTCCATGTGGCCCACAGCTCTTCACTGGACGATGTTGATCACAAAATCCTCTCAGCCAAGTGAGTCACCAGAGATAAAGACTCATTTTAACTTGCACAACTAACAATTAAAGGTTCCAAAAGGAGGGCTTTTTAAAAGAACTATTTTAAGAACTTTTTAATAATCTGAAGAACCTTTTGGAATGGAAAGGTTTCATAGATGTTCTTCATGGAACCATAGATAAGAACCTTTTTTTTTTAAAGGGGTCACATGTGAGTATAAGGGTTTTTTATGAATCTTTGCAAATTGCCTTTCCTAATAATGTGCTAGTTAGCAAGTTTCATGGCTAAATGCAGCTAAAGTAAACAGGACAGCTGCACCCCACAGAAGAGAGGGGCGGGGTGAGCAGAGCTCATTAGCATTTAAAGGGAGATGCAACAAAACGGCTTGCTCTGAAAATAGCTGATTTTAACAATGTAAAAAGGGTGTCTTTTACAGTACCATTGAGAAATTTTAACCAAAGTATGTTATAGACTTTTCATTAAGACTCTAAAGAATCATATCAACTTGTGGAAAATGGGCATCCGATGACCCCTATAAGAGTGTAGAGCAACCAAACCAAACCTCACCTTTCTTTCTCTCTCACTTCTGCAGACAGGCCCTGGGAGAAGTGACCGCTGCTCTGAGAGAAAAGCTTCATCGATGGCAGAAAATTGAGATTCTGACAGGGTTTAATATTGTCAATAACCCTGGCATGTCGTCTCTGGCCTCTGCCCTCAACCTGGACCCTGCTTTCCTGGGCATCCGCCCTGCTGTACCCCAACACTTACTGCTATCCAATGACCTAGACGACATGGATGAGGACATACTTTCCCCAGGAACCCTGCAATGTGAGTTTTTTTAATAGTGCTGAATCTGATCATATTTATTATAAAGCTTCTCAGCCGTCTATAACCATATTAAAATGATCCTGTGGCCGGTTTTCTAACCCTAATACATGGCGATTACGCTTTCCGTTGAGCTTTGCCTTTTTGTGGTGTGATATCATTGGCTAATGTCCACAGATGCCGCCTGGCAGATGGATCGGCGAGTGAGCGACCTCTGGCCTGTGGCTTCCGAGAGCCAATCCCTGTGGAAACCAATCCCTTCTGGTTGGCAGCACCCCCTTTATTCTCTCAGCCAATGCTAACACAAAGCAAACCCTTCTATGTCACTCCTACTGCCCATTTAAGACCTTCTAGATGGAAATTGTGAATCCAGCTCTTAAACAGACACATTTAATCCTTTGTTAAAGAGGTCATATGATGTTGCTAAAAAGAACATTATTTTGTGTATTTACGGAAATGTTACGCCCCTTAACATATTGTGATGCCTTGTCCCGGCGCGACTAGACAAAAACATTAAAAGCCGTTATAAACGAGACATTTGTTGCATCCAGTGGGGACATAATTACGGATTATAATGACTTATACTGTCTTTTTACGCGTTGCATTGCATCGCGCCACGTAAACATAAAACCATGTCTGCATTTGTGATCGGAGAAATGACAAACTACAAACGCTACTCTACACTGCTCAAAACTCGCATTTGAATTATCAGTGGCAAATCCTTTAAACTTTTATAAAGAATATCTCTTTGGATTTGAGACTTTAGTCTTTGCAACTTTACAGATCTTCTTTATGCACCAAGAGCTTGTAACACTCCAAAGAGAAAGGAAAAATTGAAATCGCATCATATGACCCCTTTAACATTTATTTTTGTTCGGTGTTGCTGGGTTTCTAGGTTAGTGATTCACAACGTGTCTTTAGCACAGCAACTTGGTGTTAGCATTGCTAAGGCTAACCCAGAGTTAAAATCAAGCTGTCAACCCTGGTTTTACAATTAAGGGGGTAACATTTTGTTAAACCCTGGCAAAAAGCAGTTAAAAAAAATCTGTTAACCCAGTGTTAAGCACAGTGTGCAAAGTCTGTATTTAAACTTACTACACGGCTCTCTGGAATATTCTGAATGGACGATTACAACATTCTGTGCATAAATGTTTTTGTACATTGATTTTGTATATACTGTTAAATTTGTATAATTTGTTGTTGTCGCAAACCGACAATGGGTTTCATTCACTAACTGTGCATGCATGCGAATTTGTACATGAAATCTGCGTACAAACGTTTTAACAAACAAACCATGGTTCTTCAGTAACTGAATATTATTCTAAATGTAGGAACAACTGAAACCAAACATATGTAAAAAAAATCATTCTTGGTGGCCTTATTAATGTTTAAATAAATGGTTTAGTCTATTTCAACATGAAAACCTCGGGCACGCCGTTGCTCATTTAGAATACTCTAAATTTCATGACATTATGACAATGTTCAGAAATTCATGTGGTGTGAATTAGGCAAGAATTTTTAGTGAAAAGTTGTCATGTGCATGTAAATATTCATGATCTACACAATTATTGGTGAATGAGACCCAGTGTCCTAGTTAGCTGTGCTGATTTCACATCTTTCGTGTCACTTCATGGTCTTCTGACATAAAATTGTTTCTCTCAAATCAATATTTCATGTCCATTTATTCATTAGTTTAGTAGCCGTGTAATAAGTGCATAATGTACAGTCATTGTCCCTCTTGTTTCATACAGCTAACATTATTGCATTATTTTCGTGCAGGCTGAAAACCGCATGTCTGTCATCGCTCAGTTTTTGTGGACACTGATCCTCTTCGCTCTGCAGTCTTGCAATGCTTTTACACTTTTGTGTGTTCATTTCCTGTGCCACATCATCAGCTCTGTTTCCTCCCTAGCTCTGTTTTCCTTCATTAACCACAGTTAATGTGCTTTTATCACTGTATCACACACTCCTCCCAGATGTGACTTCCAATGTGTGTTCATCCTTTGTTACAAAGGCAGGCGTGAAACATTACCTACATGTGGTGAAAAGATTAGATGAAAGATGTAAAATGAATAAAATCATGATTAGTTAATCTAGTCACAAATCAATTTCTGTTGTAAAATGTAACAGATACACAGCCCTCTGTTTTGGACGACCTATAATATTATTAATTATGAGACAGAATCTTGATTAGATTTTCTCAGAGACTGAATGATTTGAATGTCCGCTCACTAATACAGACAAACATCTGTGTGTGTGTGCCTCTCCTCAGCTCCCAGCCTGACGTCCCTGCGGTCGCGACACGGAGACCCCGTGCTGAACCTGAGCTCACAGAGGTTGGTAGAGGCCGGTGAGAGTGAGGCCGGGCCCCTGCGGCCCCCCGGTCGCCCCTATGTGCGGCAGGCTCGCAGCCACTCGATCGGCCACGTGGAGTTTCTCCCTGTGCCTTCGCTGTCTTTCTCTCTGTCTCATCCCTCCATCGTCTCTACCTCACTCCTATCTTCCTCCTCCGGCTCTCGTTTTGCTGCGCTGCAGTACCGTTCCTCATACTTCACCTCTATGGAGGCGGTCTCAGGTCTGCCGCCAACAGGGTTCACTGCTTCACGCAGTGATCAGAGAACTGAAAGCACTGGGTACCTCACACACTGTTTGCTGTGCACACACACAGCATGTGTGTAGGCCATCCATAACTTCCCTGTTATTGATACATTTCTAAACTGTTTTCTATGCTAAACAACAATTTGCTAACAAAGTTCTTTTTATTTAGTTTTCTGTGAATGTCAATTTTGTATCTGTAATACATTATAATTATAATATATTTACTATATTATAATTTCACTTGTCATGAACTGTAACCTTTTTAGTCAATTTCCATTTAACTATTTAAATGTAAACACAGTGAGAAACCGAACTAATCCAGCATGAAAAAGTCAACATGAAATCAAAGTTTACTCCATTTACTTTCTTTACAATCATCCCTGGTCTTATTGTGCTTAATTTATCAGTGGACATTATTCTAGTGGGGGAAAAAAAGGTCTTCGTAATTTTGAACTTAAATTTAAACTTGTTCCATCCAGGGTTAAGTTAACTAAAACTAAAACCAAAACCATTTTGGTACTTGAAAATAAAATGAATGAATGAATGAATGAGGAAAAAGTAACAAAACTATGTAAAAATAGAAATATTTCAAAAACAATAACTAATAACATTACAAAACAAAATTAAACAGAAAATACAAAACAAATAATTCTAAATATTGGAAAAAATATTTAAAAAAAACAATAACTAATAAAATAACAAAACACAATAAAATTCATTAAACATCCAAATTAAAATGAAAACAGAAAATACAAAACAACAAATAATTCAAAATATTTTTTTAAAATATAAAAAAATAAACTGTAACTAATAAAATAAAACACAATCAAATTCATTAAACATCATAATTAAAATGAAAACGGAAAATACAAAACAAAAAATAATTCAAAATATTGGAGAAAAAACTATAATACTAAAATAGCACTGGCTCTGCCTCTGAAAAAAAACTTTTTTAGGAAGTGATATTACCTGGGCTGTACAGATAGGGAAATATTTTTTCTATGTATAACTAACTACTTGTCATAATTATAACATATTCATTTAATTATTTTATAATGTTATATTTTTAAATCATTTGAATATTTTCAATAATTCTGCAGTTTTTAAATAATTCTGTTTTGGCTTGTTTAAGGCTACTGCTGGAGTTTTTAATTTTGCCAATGCATTAAACAATGCAGCAATTTAATGCTGATTAACATTGCTATAAATAGTAAGGTTGTGGGAATAATAGCAAATCATGATAGATTTTTAAAAAGTCATTGAAATAAGTTAGAGACTTTTGAGAGTCAACTTGACTTTGACTTCTCAGTCAAAAGTGCTGTTGGTCGTTGAGGTGTTTCAGGAGGGGTGTAGTCACCACCATATTCCACTGCAAACTGCATTTACAATGTTTCACTTGGAAAAACAGCGCTTTATCGAAGTAAATGAGTTGCGAGTGCGGTTTCATGTTGACATGAAGTTGAAAAATTGAAACTAACAGGAAATGCAAATGCGTCGATTCTGAAATCCTCTTCTCTCCTTGTCCCGTCCTCTAGGGATCTGAACCGGTCCGAATCGGATTCCTCTCTCTCAGTGTCTCAGTACGGAGACGCCCAGCGCTGCACCTCAACTCCACTCAACAGTAAGCTGTCCAGATCCAATGGTGGTTCCTCCACCGACAGCCCACTGCTGCAGAAAAAGACCTTTGGCATGGAGAAGTGTGCCAGTCTCGGAGAGATCCACTCTCAGCCGTCTAGCCTCACCTCAGCCGACTCGATGCGCTCTCTGATCTACACCTCCGAGCAGGACGGCCCGTCACTGCCAACAGGAAAGGGTGGCAGCCGAATCTCTCAGATCACAGGCAAGAAGATCCTGGTGGACGAGGACAGCGGCTCCACAGGAGACGACGCTGAAGGCTCCAGCACGGGCCGCAAGAAGAGCACCTTTACCAAACTCTTCAAGAGGCCAAAGAAATGACAGCAGTATGGGGAGATGCCAAACACAAGAGTAAGACTAGCACAATGGTACATTTTAATCGTGAAGAGTTTTAGGAAGACCATGTCATTTATGTGGAATTTTTGATTTATATCGTAATTGTGTCGACCAACGGGAACAGAAACAGTCATTTGTTGGGAACAGGTATGATATCACTGTACATTTATTTATTTGCTTCTACAACTAAGGGCGCTAGATGGTATTGTCCATTTTTGGTGTGAGAGTTACTTCTGTTTTTATTGGTAGTTAGCGTGAGCTGGAGCTTTCACTCTCAAAACAAACACCAAACGCTTGCAAAGGCTTTCAGCGCATACAAATGACTCCACCTACTCTATACTGTTGTTTTACATAGGATTTGCTTGGACTTCTTTCCTTTTCACATGCAGCCCATCATTGTGTTGCCAGAGGAAACAATTGGCTGTAAATGTTACCGTTCACGTCCCCCTGCTGAAAACACACCACAGTACGAGTATGCAGCATCTGTGTGCGTGACGGATATGAGGCGGAAAATATCTTGTTACTTGCTTTAGATTTCTCCTTCTGTTATCAAAATCTATTTTAAAATGTTTCAACTTGTTACTTCCTCACAAAGGTGCCTTTCATTTTAAGCACTGCCAAATGTTATTGCTGTGAACTGCCTGTGTGTGAGTCACAGACAGGATATGTGCTGTAGTTCTTGTCTCTGGCTTGTAATTACATGCCTTTAACTTCATTCATGCTTCATGCCACTGAAGTCTTTTAATACCTGAGAAGTAATAAAATAAGGTATCAAAAGGGAGGGTGTTTTGCAAATTAAAAGTCGCATGCCAACTTTCTTTTATTAATAAAAACACTGAACTTTACATTTTCATATAATTTTTTTCTTTATTAGTAGCTATTTGTTTTCACATTCATTTTTTTATTTTAATTTTGGCAGGCTTTGTAAGGAAAATTTAATTACTAATTGTATTTTTTAATTTGAAAATGTGTCATCCCAGTGAAAATCTAAATGAAATAAATTTTTAATTTTAATTTTGGCAAATACTCAACCATTCATACTGTAAGTTTGGGGTCAATAAGGTTATTAGATTTTCTTTAAGAAATAATTTTATTCAGTAAGAACACACACACACACACACATATATATATATATATTTTTTCTTTTTTTTCTTTTTTTTCAGAAATCACTTTAGTATGCTGATTTGATGCTCGAGAAACTTTTTTTTTTACTATTTAGCAATGTTGAAAAAATGTATATTTTTTAGAAACTGTGATATATATGATATGATATATATAAAGCACAAGCAGAATGAGGTACAATTTAATATTTTCTTAACCAAAAAGAACAATATGTTTGATAGTTCTCAGGGTTAAACAGGTTTATAGGGTAACTTCCTCTGCATTGCATTTTTTGAAAACCTCTTTGCATCATGGAGCGGTTGATAAATCTGTAAATGTTAACCTTTACAGGAAGTAGCTATTCCATCACTGTTCACAGAAATCCACTGTGAAATATACACCAACGCAGCAGACAGACCCAACACCACACATATTCAGTCACTGAGTGGATATATAAACCAAATTCTTGAATTGTTCATGCAGGCTAAGCTGAACACCATGAATACCAGAGCTTTTTTTTTTGCCAGTGCACTCTGTACACATTTCTCTGGTGTATTTAACATCTCCTGAAGGTTTGTTTGCATCAGCCGCTGTGGAGCAGAACATTAAATGGCTAGGCACACTCAGAGAAACCATCTAAATCAAGATAGCTCGATGAGTTAGTGTCCACAACAAAGCCCCAACAAGGTCAGGTTTACCATTGTTACCATAGTGCTCCGAATAAACAAACCTGTTTCAGCGCCTCTTCTGTCATAAGAAAGTTTGCTTTATTCATAGTGTGCACGGCCTTTGTAGACCACTGAAATAAGCTGAATCTGCCCATGATAAACAAACAGCGTCTGCTGAGAACAGTTCATGGAACCATTTTGATTTTATTTGCTGGATTTGTGGCTTTTAATTTTAATTTGTGGCTGTTTTTATACAGCATATTTAAACATTCTGAAGAGGCTTTACAATGCCTCTTGTACTACAGTTTATTTTATTCGTGTGAACAGTTACTATTTCAAATAAGTTCTGTTTTGTTAAACAATATCACCTAAAGGCATTGACCTGATTTGATTTGACCTGGCTCTTGTGAATGAAAAGCAGATCATGTTACTAGTTCTGTTACCTTTTAAAATAAGCCTATACACTCTTTGATGAAAAGACTTGTTGATCATGACATGATGAACGGCATGAAATGGAATCCTTAGGACATCATGAATTCAGCCAAAGAATCCAAATGTCCTTTGCGTGTCTCTGGCTTTGGCTTTATGCCCGGTACTATGTCAAACGAGTAATCGCAGCGTAAATAAAAAAAAAATTGAAATAAATGTCTTTTATACAATCATTTAAATGTTCATGTCAATCCAGCTTGACTGGTGAGTTAGAGTGCATGATTCTCCAAACAGAAGTCCTCACCAGTACTTGTCCTTTTGAGATGTCCCGCAGTTCCGACCTCCCAACACTTGGGGCAGTGTTATGCCTCGCTTATGGCCTCCCAGTTCATGGCTGTGAAGTCCGCTTCAGTCAGGTTAACCGTGAAGGGTCCCTCAACTCGCTGAGGTTCCACATGCTGCTCCTGAGAGGTCGTGTTTATGTTGTTAACACGCCAGGAATTGAGGGGACGGATGGATTTCTGGAAGCGCTGAATGTAAGAAACGTATGTCAGCATGAGCATGTCACACACATACCTGCTGGTACAATTCTAAACAAGAAAAAATAACTCAGGTACATTATATATTTCATAAAAAATTATCTAAAAATGTACATTAACAAAAATACTTAAATTTAAAAAATGTATTTGATTAAAAATACAGTAAAACCATTAATATTGTGATATATTTTTACAATTAAAAATAACTCTTCTATTTTAACAAGTTCTAAAAAGTTATATATTCCTGTGATGGCAAAGCTGAATTTTCAGCATCATTACTCCAGTCTTCAGTGTCACATGATCCTTCAGAAATCATTCAAATATGCGGATTTGGTGCTCAAGAAACACTTATTATTATTATTATTATTAGTGCTGTCAAAAGATTAATCGCATCCAAAATAAAAGTTTTTGTTTACATAATATATGCATGTGTGCTGTGTATATTTATTATGTATATATAAATACACACACATGCATGTATATATTTATTTAAAAATGTTTATATATTAAATATATTTATTTATAATATAAATTATATGAATATAAATATAGAGATGTAAATACATGTAAATATTTTCTAAATATATACTGTGTGTGTGTATTTACATATACATAATAAATATACACAGAACACACACACATACATGTATATTATGCAAACAAAAACTTTTATTTTGGATGCGATTAATCGCGATTAATCTTTTGACGGCACTAATTATTGTCAGTGTTAAAAACAGTTGTGCTGCTTAATATTTTTGTGGAAACCGTGACACAGGATTTGTGTGATGAAGAAAGGTCAATAGAACAGCATTTATTTGAAATAGAAATCTTTTGTAACATTCTAAATGTGATTTTCGATCAATTTTATGCATTCTTTCTGAATAAAAGTATTCTTTCTTAGAATCCTACTGGTGGTTTGATGTTTTGAAGAGACTTACATCTTTAAGAGTGCCAGACTCTTTACTGACTGCCACTATGGCCCAGATGAGAATCTGCAGACAGCAGAAGGCACCCATACATACGCCCAACGCTTTGCCCCAGGTCGGGTACACATAGGTGCCGTAGCGCAGAGACGTACGGTACATCTCGATGAAGATGTAGGTCAGGATGAACTGTATAGAGAAAATAATCTCTTACCATTTTCAATATAAAGACTGAGGCCTCACTCTGTGAATGGGACTATCACTGTCAGTGAGATACAGTGTCTCAGCAACTGAATTATTCATTACACTGGATGCAGAACAGACATGGTGTTTGATTCCACTCTGCAGTAAAGCCAAGTTTCTGACAGTACTGTAGTATGATTCTACTGTAGCTCAAACCCTTCTAAATGAATATTTATATATATAATTATATAACTGTTCATCTTAAACAGAAATCTCATGCATCATTGCATACTAAAACATGAGGGTGATTCCAATAAACCAAACCAAAAACAGGACACCCACCGTTAGCAGGAAGGGGGTGAAAACCACCCAGCAGGCTTTGAAGTACAATAGCAGTTTTGTGCACCAGGGAGGACAGCGACAGATCATGTCCACAATGTCCTGACAGAACTGGTTCACCCCTGCAATTACATCAGCATATGCAATAGTTTGTTAGTTTTTTCATAGAAACAGATTTAAAAAAGTTAAACATTACATCACTTGCTCACCAGTGGATCCTCTGCAGTGAATGGGTGCCGTCAAAATGAGAGTCGAAACAGCTGACAAAAACATTACAATAATCCACAAGCAACCTTGTGAGCATGTGTGCTGTGTATATTTATTATGTATATATAAATACACACACATGCATGTATATATTTATTTAAAAATGTTTATATATTAAATATATTTATTTATAATATAAATTATATGAATATAAATATAGAGATGTAAATACATGTAAATATTTTCTAAATATATACTGTGTGTGTGTATTTACATATACATAATAAATATACACAGAACACACACACATACATGTATATTATGCAAACAAAAACTTTTATTTTGGATGCGATTAATCGCGATTAATCTTTTGACGGCACTAATTATTGTCAGTGTTAAAAACAGTTGTGCTGCTTAATATTTTTGTGGAAACCGTGACACAGGATTTGTGTGATGAAGAAAGGTCAATAGAACAGCATTTATTTGAAATAGAAATCTTTTGTAACATTCTAAATGTGATTTTCGATCAATTTTATGCATTCTTTCTGAATAAAAGTATTCTTTCTTAGAATCCTACTGGTGGTTTGATGTTTTGAAGAGACTTACATCTTTAAGAGTGCCAGACTCTTTACTGACTGCCACTATGGCCCAGATGAGAATCTGCAGACAGCAGAAGGCACCCATACATACGCCCAACGCTTTGCCCCAGGTCGGGTACACATAGGTGCCGTAGCGCAGAGACGTACGGTACATCTCGATGAAGATGTAGGTCAGGATGAACTGTATAGAGAAAATAATCTCTTACCATTTTCAATATAAAGACTGAGGCCTCACTCTGTGAATGGGACTATCACTGTCAGTGAGATACAGTGTCTCAGCAACTGAATTATTCATTACACTGGATGCAGAACAGACATGGTGTTTGATTCCACTCTGCAGTAAAGCCAAGTTTCTGACAGTACTGTAGTATGATTCTACTGTAGCTCAAACCCTTCTAAATGAATATTTATATATATAATTATATAACTGTTCATCTTAAACAGAAATCTCATGCATCATTGCATACTAAAACATGAGGGTGATTCCAATAAACCAAACCAAAAACAGGACACCCACCGTTAGCAGGAAGGGGGTGAAAACCACCCAGCAGGCTTTGAAGTACAATAGCAGTTTTGTGCACCAGGGAGGACAGCGACAGATCATGTCCACAATGTCCTGACAGAACTGGTTCACCCCTGCAATTACATCAGCATATGCAATAGTTTGTTAGTTTTTTCATAGAAACAGATTTAAAAAAGTTAAACATTACATCACTTGCTCACCAGTGGATCCTCTGCAGTGAATGGGTGCCGTCAAAATGAGAGTCGAAACAGCTGACAAAAACATTACAATAATCCACAAGCAACCTTGTGAAGTGAAAAGATGTTTTTAAAAAACAAATCCATCAAG